CTGAAACATTTTATTGCCGAAGAGAACATTGTGGGGATTCTCACCTAAAATCTCTATACAAAATCCTAAAACTAAACTAAACTCAGTGGCGCGACAGCCCATAGAGGGCCAAGGCTTACTGTGCCCTTCTCAGTTATCTTGACCTTGGGCTCTGGGGTGCAGGAGCAGATGCTCCGGTCAGGTGGTCAGCCAAACGTGAAACCCCAGTGTTTAGTTCTCAAGCATGCTTGGTACTCATTCATCGACCCACTGAAGGGATGAAAGGCTGAGTCAACCTTGCCCGGCCCGAGGATTGAACCAGGACCCATACATAATCCAACATCTTTCATGATACGATGTGGGGTCGGGCAGCGAAGGATGGGCAGAGTAAGGGCACCTGCTTGGTAATAAATGCATTATGGTCTACGACAAAAATGCTTTAGAGTACAGTAAAAAAGTTAGCGATAATCCATAATGTTGAAAACTACTCAATAAATACTCAATTGAGTAAATTTAAGCTGCAATCCACATCGGCATGGAATCCATCCTTGGAATTTTCCCAAATTCTGCAACTATGATGCTAATTTGATCAAGATACGTCTTGCTTGAAAATTACTCTTGGTAAAGACTGCTGAATAACTATTTGCAATCCCGTATATAATTGCATATCTGCCTCTTCTACTTTCGAATATTGAATGACGAATTCTGCAAACTGTCGCGTTTTATCCACTCCAGAGAATGTGCTCTCTTCTGATTCGCCCTTTGCTTTGCGATCCCACATTACATTTTGAACATTTTTGGTTTAGCTAGCTAAATCAATTCTTACAGTTGTGTCAGTTAGTTTTGTATCACCCAGTATAATTTATATTGAGCTATCACATTAGAATATTTTTGCACGCATAAAAAATACTTTATTTGTTCAAATTGATTAAAAAAATCTCATTATGGACAAAAAAGTGGAGCAGAATTATTTATGTACGTATCAAAAGATATAAATATTAACAAAAAATGTATGGATTTTCCAGTTAATTACAAATACAAAAGTTTTAATATTTTTTGTAATAAGATGCATGACAGGGGCACCATGTTATGGATTCATGTTAGAAACCATGAGTATACATAGGGACAAAAATTAATATAACTTAGACTCTATGTATATAATATATATATGGGTAAGAGAATAGAATTTTTATATCTGAACTCTATAACAGAAAAATCGACGCACCAAGAAGGAGTTGTCCGACTGAAACGAACATTGGTGGATAGGAAGACAATGTACAGAATAGTAAATGATTAAAATTTCAGAACAATTGAATAATTTATTGCAGAGTTACAGTCACAAGTTCAATAAGGTGTTGACCCGCCTCTAGCCTAGATACAAGCTGCCTCACGGCCTGGCATAGACCGATAAAGCTCCCGGATGGTCTCTTGCGGNTAGCGACCCTTTTTGACATTTGATTGAAGTTCGTGATTTTATCTTTAACCTCGTTGAGATGAGGAATCCATGTCAGCCCTCTTCGGCATGAGGAATCCACTTCGGCATGGAATCTATCCTTGGAATTTTCCCAAATTCTGCTACTATGATGCTAATTTGATCAAGATGCGTCTTGTTTAAAAATTACTCTTGGTAAAGACTGCTAGATAACTATTTGCAATCCCGTATATAATCGCATATCTGCCTCTTCTACTTTCGAATATTGAATGACGGATTCTGCAAACTGTCGCGTTTCATCCACTCCAGAGAATGTGCTCTCTTCTGATTCGCCCTTTGCTTTGCGATCCCACATTACATTTTGAACGTATTTTTGTTTTAGCTAGTTAAATCAATTCTTACAGTTGTGTCAGTTAGTTTTGTATCACCCAGTATAATTTGTATTGAGCTATCACATTAGAATATTTTTGCACGTATAAAAAATACTTTTATTTGTTCAAATTGATTAGAAAAATCTCATTATGGACAAAAAAAGTGGAGCAGAATTATTTATGTACGTATCAAAAGATATAAATATTATCAAAAAATGTATGGATTTTCCAGTTAAATACAAATACAAAAGTTTTAATATTTTTTGTAATAAGATGCATAACAGGGCACCATGTCATGGATTCATATTAGACATTATGTGTATACACATAGGGACAAAAATTAATATAACTTAGACTCTATGTATATAATATATATATAGGTTAGAGAATGAAATTTTTATATTTATATAGCTTTATAGAATAAGCATAGAATTTTATCTATAAAAAAGTTATTTAATAAGTTAAGTATTGATAAAACTTGCACTGTATTTAGAAATGTATAAAATTATCTTTAAATTATTTAATGAGAAATTATATTTACAAATTGGATTTATTTGGGATCGAAATCTAATACACCAAGCAAAATGTAGTTTACTTTTTTACAGTAAGATTATTGTTAGGAAGGAAAATAAAATATTTGCTTATTTTTCTCAAACTAACAAGATCAGTTCGTTAATTAATTTTGAGCTCGCCATTCAACTGAAAGAATATTCCAAGAAATACTATCCATTAGTAACAAAAGATCTTAAATAGAAATAGGATAATAAAAGAAATAATAAGTGCTTATAAAATATTTTCTTACAGGAAAAAGTAAATTAGTTGTAATATAAATGTAAACTGCTGTTGTAAAGAAAAGGAATTTGTTAAGTCGTTGAAGTATTTATTTTCTAAAGGAAAATACAATAGAATATTTGATTTCGTAAACTCTCGGAAAGAAAACTTAATAGAGTTATTTTAATAATTATGTTTTGTATTAAGAGGGATTTTAAATCAGCTTTAAAAGTAATCTCTTTGTAACTGTTTTCTTTTAAAGGGTTTCTTTTTAATAAAGATAAGATTACGACTAATATAATAAGAGCTAATTCAGCGCTTTCGCTAAAAAAGGCTCACTGTTTGAGTTCCTTAAAATCGAAACAAAGTTTCAACTTTAAAATATATAAGCATGAGTGCTAACTTGTATGGTCATGTAGAAAATATTTTCTTATTGGCTGCAATGTTTATGTTTTAATGTTTAAATCTTAATTTTAAAAGCTAAATTTCCTTTTTAATGTATAAATCTTAATATTAAAAACTTAAATTATTTCGCTTACCATGTCAAATTAACAACTCCAACATGGGTATATAACTAAAGAAAAAAAACAATGTGGATAAAGCACAAATGAGAGCACCGAAATGGGATTACTATAGTTTCGGTTCTATAAACATGAACTTTCTTCAGTGTCTAAACTCTAACTCATAAATGTAATAGGTGTTCGAAATTTGGTGCTTAGACAGAGAGTTAACATGTCATTTGGTGACCTGTGAATGCCAATGTCATTTGATGTTGAAACACTGAGGAAGGTTTTTGTTTATAGGACTGAAATTATAGTATGTCCATTTCTGTACTTTCACGTTTGCTTTATTTTAGTTTCTTGCCATATGTGTATATGCTATATAGTTTTAAAAATGTGCTTATAAAAGTTGGCGAACAGTTTAATTCTTAGAAAATTCTTGCTACATTAAGTCATACTTTCAAAACCAAAAATTCTAGCTTCCCATAACACTTGTTGGAAGTTGTAATGATGCTAACCCAATACCTACAATTTTCAACCTTTCGGACAGAGCCTAAATTTCTAAAGTTGCAATTCTGATGACGCCTTGCACCTATCACTTTTTAACTGTAACTTGCTGTGCTTTGAATACACACTTTCGATTGTTGATACAACTTGAGATACGTGAGCAGTTTTTAATTTTTTTTTCCTTCTGCGCATGCTCAGTAAATGGCAGGTCAGGCTTTATTTAGTCTTGCATTTATGCAGTCTAAATAATTCGGGTAAAGTAATTATTTACATATTTATTTAGATATGGTTTCAATGACAGAGCGTGCGGAGAAGGGAACACGTGTCTATTTCTGCCCCGATAAACTTTCTGAACGTTATAGTCCCTCCTGAGAAGGATATTGATTTAGAGAAGCGATAAAAAAATAAAAGCTGGATCCATGATAGCTATCTGCTATTCTATTCCATTTCCAAACAAGTAAAGTCCACCTAGGCTGCTTAGAAGAAACTATTGACCTGGAATCCTATGGTGATAAATATACTCATCTTCCTTTGGGGGAGGCATGCCCCTTTAGCAGCAACAAGACAATAAGTGGAATAATAATAAAGTATTAGCTTAGTTTTGAAATTTGTCAGGACTTTAAATTGTTTTGCAGGTTTTTTTACTTCATGTACATGGATTATTCATATTTTAGTGTTAGACAAAATAATTCAAAATAAAAATTTTTTAAACCAAAAATAAACTATTGATGCTAAAGTTTAAATTTTGTCATTTAAAATACATAAAGAAAATTTTCCGAATAAAGTGTGAGAATTTTTTTTTAAGTGCTTGCATTTTAACCTATCAATTGTCAAAACTCTTATACACAGTAGTGTATTTTTGTTTCAAAACAATTAAATCATTTATTTTATTTTTTATACTCATTTCTGTGAAACAAAGTTTCAAGACTTTGCCAAGTAAAAGTGAAACCCGTTTAACTTAGTAGCCATAGGTAAATATGTCTAATTTTAGACAATAAATGCATTGAGTTGTCAATGAAAAAGTAAATATATTTGCTATAGTGTAATTGCAATAATATTGAAAACTAAATGAAGAGCTTAGCGGATGAAACTGGTAAGTAACATTTTCAGGTTAATTTATTAATCAAGGAAAGCAACATAAAGTGGTCGTATCAATATGGGTTTGCTTAATGTAGCAGAATTGCTTTTGCTTCACTTTAATTTTTCAATCCACACTAGCTATGAGTATGCTGGCATGATATTTATTTCACATTAGGATGTAATAAATAAAGTAATGCAAAACATTATTAACCCCGCCCTTCTAATGATTCTTTAATAAAATACTTCGGATACCACTTTTTGTCTTTTTACCCAGATTGCATCCTCTCTGAAAATGTCACTTACACGGTTTATCCACTCAGTTCTCAGACATCGTAATGGTACAAAGTAAAAGTGGCTTACTTTCCAAAATCCTGCCCCTTCTCTGTAATTAAGATACAAAGGAGGAGATCCTGTCAATGTTGATGCAGCCTTGAAAGGAAACATGTCTTTCTCAGCCACTAAATTTACTGTTCAAAAGAAAAAAAATGCAATGTTACATTTCACGGAGCACACGTACACATTATTTTAACTGAAAATCTGTACACCAAGGAGAGATAAAGTTCAATATTTTAAAATTAATTATAATTAAAGTTTAAAATAATTTAAAATAATTAATTAAAATTTTTAGTCAGTCATTTACTGTCAAACAAAAGTAAACACATTGTTAATTTTTTAACGTAGCACACCATATTACTTCAATGGGCTATCTGTATATAAATTTGTAAAAGTTCAATGATATTTCAAAATTAATTGTAATGAATTCGATTAAACTATTCTTCTGTCTCCTCTCCGTTGATGCATTAGGATCTATGGTAATTTATAATAAACTATTTCAATTTTTATCATCTCAACTTACTGTCAAACAAAAATAAATACATTTTTACATTTCACGCAGCACTCACACTTTATTTTAATCGGTTATCTGTACACATCAATGTGAAAAAAATTCAATGATATTTTAAAATTAATTATAATTAATTCGATTAAACAATTCTTCTGCCACCTCTCCGTTTATGCATTAGGATCTATGGTAATTTATAATAAATTATTTCAATTTTTATCTTTTCAACTTACTGTCAAACACAAATAAATATATTGTTTCATTTCACGCAGCATACATACACATATTATTTTAATGGGCTATCTGTACATCAGCATGAAAAAAAGTTCGATGATATTCCAAAATTAATTATAATTAATTCAATTAAATAATTCTTCTGCACACCTCTCCGTTAATGCTGCATTAGGATCTATGCTAATTCGACATAGTTTATTTCAATATTTAGCATCTCAACTTACTGTCAAACAAAAAATACATTCTTACATTTCACGGAGCACACATACACATATTATTTTAATAAGCTATCTGTACATCAGTATGGAAAAAGGGTACATCAGGTTCAATTTCGATGATATTCCAAAATTAATTATAATTAATTCGATTAAACAATTCTTCTGCCACCCCTCCGTTGATGCATTATGATGATCTATGAAAATTTGTAATAAATTATTTAAATTTTTCTCTTCTCAACTTACTGTCAAACAAAAATAAATATATTGTTGCCTTTCACGGAGCACATACACATATTATTTTAATGGACTATCTGTACATAAATATGAATGAAAGTTCAATGATATTCCAAAATTAATTATAATTAATTCGATTAAACAATTCTTTTGCCACCTCTCCGTTGATGCATTATGATCTATGAAAATTTGTAATAAGTTACTTAAATTTTTCTCTTCTCAACTTACTGTCAAACAAAAATAAATATATTGTTGCCTTTCACGGAGCACACATACGCATATTATTTTAATGGGCTATCTGTACATAAATATGAATAAAAGTTCAATGATATTCCAAAATTAATTATAATTAATTCGATTAAACCATTCTTCTGCCACATCTCCGGTGATATATCAAGATCTAAATTAATTTACAGTAATTAATTAAAATTTTTAGCATCCCAAATTACTGTGAAACGAAAATAAATAAATTGTTAAATTTCACGGAACCCGCACATCTGGGGCTGCTCGTGGTCCTTTTCCCATTCATCATGGCCTTCCAGGGTTATAGTGGCAGAAATTGTGTTGGTTGGAATGCAAATTGAGTAAAAAAGAGCTATTTTGCCACTGTAAACGTAATTGAAAATTTTACTTTTTTTATATCTTGGAGAGAGATGCATCACTACGGAAGTAAGCTACCGTGGGTCGTATTCTTATGGATTCTGGTAACAATGCCTACACGTTGTTGAATATGATCAATTTTTAGATCACGAAGAATGCCTCCGTTGCACATGAACCATTTGGTTTTATAATCAATCTTCCCAGAATCTTATTTTGGCATCTTTTTCAATTTTTCAAGCAGAGTAGATGATATATAGGCAAGCGGAAGCATATGGTTGGATTAGGATAGGTCGAGAAGTTATGGATAGATCGAAAAGTCTTTTCAGGTTCAATTCCACATTGGCTCTAAACAGAGCATTTTGAAATTTAAAGCTGTAGGTACTTTGCCCTTAATTTTGGAGTCGTGATCATTCCGCTTAAATTTGGAGTTCAGGACGAGTCCTGAATAGGTTGCGTTGTTTACAGAAGGGATACAGTGTTTCATCAGGACTGAAAGTAAATTAAGACGGTAAAAAGCAAAAACTGATAAAAAAATCATTTCATTCTTACTTATTCTCGGGAGGATTAAAATATCAATTTAGGTTTTATTTAACAATTATACCGTGTATATAAGAATGCTTCTTACTTGAAAAAAAGTAAATAGTATGAGCTTTATTTTACTCCTCCCAAAAACTTGGCAGGGTTTTTATCAGGTTCCGGGGTTTTACGAAGTGGTTTTAAGTTCAGAGTTTTCTTTTTGTCCGTCTTGTTATTAGGTTGGGTTTCATACACTTTCACAGCGTTCACGCGGGCTTCAAAAAATATATTGTCCTAAGTTTGTGCACAATATTTCCAAAAAGAATCTATAGAGTAGCGGTATCTGCAGAAATTGTAAAAAATTCCGCTTTAAATTACGGTAAAAAGTACCAACTCTCAGGGTGCCAATACTTTTTATTATAAAATCCTCATTTACCGGAACATGTTACAGAACCAAAAATCTGATAGACCGTAATTTTTTCAGTAATGATTACCATAACATTACTGAATCACTCCAATTAAATAAATATTAATGTTAAATTTAAAGTATAGTATTTCAAGCTAAAATAAGATTTTAGAGTAAAATGTATTTTACAGATGATGCACCCAAAGTACTGGCCTGTAATTTGGTATGGAATTTTCTTACAGTGCACAGAATTTTTAATTTAAATTTAAAAGCTAATAAAAAGAAATTTGTAACTGCATTATAGGAATATTAGCACCACTTTTTAAACTTTTTAAGGACCGTATGAGCCTTATTTCATATTAAAACATTAAAGTGATTGGCCGAGCGGATTACTTACGGACGTGGTAGGCTACCACTTCGTTTTCTCTACCTACAACCCATTCATTATTTCTTTCTATGGCGTCATTTGTGGGGGCGAAGACTGTTACTGGCCAGTACTGTAGCAGCTTCCTCAACACTTCATCTCGATTGACCATTTCTTGAAACTGAAAAAAAAAAGAATTTCAGAATCTTCAGCACATATAATATCTTATAGATATGAAAGACTTTCATCTTTAGTTTGAAAAGCCAAACTTTTTACAAAAAATGACTTTTTTACATCAATCGGTAACATTTCATACAAATTGGTATTTTAAAATTTAGGTACTGCACGTTTCAGTTATGTGCTATAGATGTTCACAATTTCTACTGCACAATGCAAGTACGACAACCGGAAATATCCAGTTTTTTAGATATAAATTGTGTATTTTTTACATTGTAAAAACTGTGGTGTAATACCTACCCGAATTCGGAGTTGCTCAACGCTAGAATTAGTATGAATGATTATGAAGCTTTCTTGTAAACTTTAAAGGGTTTAGTTAAATTTTAACACCAATAATTCATATAGTTCACACTAATACGCAATTCATTGGAAAAAAAATGTGGTGTTTATCGGAGTTGCGTAAATTTGGTGAATAATTATTGTATATTTAAATTATTTAACTAAATTCTTGTGTGAAGTGACGGTAGGGCATGTTTTAAATGAATAAACAATGCTTTTGGACCACTAGTGGGAGTTTAAAGGCGATTAACTGAGCAACTTCAAGATCGTGACATAATGGCAGTCAAGATGGCGATTTTGTTTAGATGAAATGTACTGGTGTCTTTTTGTCGGATTTAATTGAGTAAGTTTCAATCCTCTATACTGATTTATAAAAAGTTTTGATTGTGGTCGATTACATGCCGTATAATTTCAGTTGTGCTGGATTGATTAGACAAATCACTCATAAAAACTGTTATAAAATCCACGCGTACTCTTAGTTATATAATGAAAATATTTATGTTCTCCTATTTACTTAAACTCCCAGTTGCTTAAAATAATTTTACAATATTTAACTTCTATTCTCTTCTGTTTGTTTTGAGTTCATAGCAATATTCTGGCTGAAGAGTTTGCGTGTTTGATTACGTACCTAATTTTAATTTAAGAAATATATGCACCCAAAACAAATGATTCATGTTTTAGATTGTATCGTAAAATAAATTTTTTTAAACTTTTAAACTTTTTAAACTTTTTTTTTCAAAATCAAATTTTAGTGGCATTTATTTTATTAAATAGTAAAAAAAAAAGTACTAAAAGTCCGAAACAAATTATCATGCAAAAAATTATTAAAAGTTGTTTTTTGAATGGAATTGTATTTAAATAAACAAATTTTATCATTGTGTGCAAAATTGTTTCAATTCGTTTCAGAAGTACTCAAAATTTAGTGAAATACACAAAAAGTAAAACAGCAGGGTATACTTTTGTGTGAAATACACAAAAAGTAAAACAGTACAAACTTTGCATCGCACTCCTGATCAAACTATAGGGCCTATATTTCCCAAATTGCTGCTATCCCCCTATATTTTTGGGATCAGAAATCCGAATCCATCGAAAAAGAGTGTGTTTATTCTGAGAAAGTCCATTTTTGTGCCTACTTTCGTAACTTAAAACATCGCCTGCATCAATTAATTAGCATATTTGAGGTCACTCCTTAGACTGAGTCCTAGAACGACTATCATTAAATCAAAAGTTATTTAGGGCTGTTCGCTCATTTTTTGCTCACTGTACTTGTCTGCCTCTTTAAAATAGCGTTTAAAATAAAAAAAAAATAACATGATCTTAAACGGTCGCATCATAAACCAAAACGCATTATCGTCTTCTTATTTCTATGGTAGTCCAACGTTTCAGAGAAATGGAGTTACTTAGCATTTACTCGAGTGAATTTAAAAAAGATCTTGGTTTGGACTATATTATTAAATTAAAAAAAACTGTTGTTTGGAGAGAGAAACAGATTTCAAGTTGGATATCTAAAATCAAAAGTTTCTAAGATGCGTTAAAAAATCCCTCGTAACTTCAAAAAAAATTTTTTTTCCCAGTGTTTTAAGTCAAAGATGGGAGTCGAGCTTTTTGAGAAGTCCGGTGTCGGAAAGAAACATTTTAACTACCGACTCCACACTCCTGATTCAGTAGCAAGGAAAAAAAAACCAGATTAAAAAAATATCTCAACAACGCGTGAAACTTTTTCCATTAATTTGTTGAAAGTAAACAATTTTTTTTCAATGGATATAAGTTTCTTGAAGACCCTATAAATTATGCTAACGATCGTCTTTGTTAAAAAGGTATACCAGACCTACACTTGGTCATTAAAAATTCCTTTCAAGCCCTTAGTCTGAAACACGATAAAATAGAAATAAAAAAAAAGAGGAGAAGTAAGTTACTTTCTCCTGTTTTCCCAATTTTCCTGGTACATCGCTGAAATGTCGATGGTATATTGCGAGTGCTCAAATGGGAACACAGGTTTAAGTGGCCGTTAGGGAAGGTGGCCTGCCAGTTCCCCCTCATCGTAAAAGTTGAGTTTATTTTCGTACGAATGTGAAGGTTCCACTAAAATTTTCGTAGTAATATCCTCAAGGATTGGAGTATCTCGTTAAAAAAGCGAAAACTTGTTTGTTTTGAGCGTTGTAAAGACGCTCTTCGATAATACATGGCCTTGTTCCCGGTTAGCTTTAAGAAGCATGCCTTCGGCGGCCTGTGGGATTTTAGGTTTTTTTCTCTTCTTATTTTGTTTGTGTGCAGTTTATGCATCTGGGAATTTACTTGCGAAAAAACAATGCATAACTTTGAATGAGCCCTTCTTTTATTGTTTTGAAGAAAATCCAATAGAGCATTTTTCTGTTGTTTAGGGTTTTTTTTTATTAGCGAAGTTGTTTGAAGTCAATACATCTCCTGGTTGCTAAAGGCTTGAATTTCGTTTGCAGGCTACAAAATTTTCCAATATTTCAACAATAAAAAAGGGGAAAATGTTTGTAAATTGAGTAAAATAGATGCTTGTCGATAAAACTTCAATTTCTTTGGACTCAAATCGATATTTTGATTATAAGTTATCATTTCTGAAAATAGGTGCTTTTGTTACCTTTCAGCAGAAACGCTGAAATGAGATTGTTTGAAACTGATCTTAAGAAAGATAATAAATTCTATTTTTGTTTTTGACTTTAAAAAGTAACAAAAACCTAACAACCGAATTTTCATTCTAAAATTGCAGTGAAACAACCGGCAGCAGTCTGTCCATCACATTAACCATAAAGTTCATGGTTAGGCCTATTTCTTTACACTTTTTTGAAATTGTTTACAATTGGTACAGTTAAAAAATCGTGGATATAAAACTATACGGTACCATTTACAACTAGTAAGATTCTAAACCACAGTTATGTAACTTAAACGGACATTGGAGCTCTGTCGCTGCTATGCCTTTTATGTTCATAGTTTCGTATTCTATTATAGTTTCGTATTCCATTGGTCTGCGATCGTAATTATAGTTTCGTATTCTATTAGTATAGAATGATCACCGATTGAACTCTCGAAACTTTGTAGGACTCTCGAAACTTTTCATGTATTAAAGGAATGGAAGAAATATTGTTCTATGAACCCCGTGATTTGAACCCCTGCTCAGTCGGTCATGAGATTGACCGATTAACCCTCTCATCTGCAGTATGCACCCAACTGTGGACATTAGAGCTCTTTGGGTGCTATGCCTTTTATGTTTATAGTTTCGTATTCCATTGGTCTGCGATCGTAATTATAGTTTTGTATTCTATTAGTATAGAATGATCACCGATTGAACTCTCGAAACTTTGTAGGACTCTCGAAACTTTTCATGTATTAAAGGAATGGAAGAAATATTGTTCTATGAACCCCGTGATTCGAACCCCTGCTCAGTCGGTCATGAGATTGACCGATTAACCCTCACATCTGTAGTATGCACCCAACTGTGGACATTAGAGCTCTTTGGGTGCTATGCCTTTTATGTTTATAGTTTCGTATTCTATTATAGTTTCGTATTCCATTGGTCTGCGATCGTAATTATAGTTTCGTATTTTATTAGTATAGAATGATCACCGATTGAACTCTCGAAACTTTGTAGGACTCTCGAAACTTTTCATGTATTAAAGGAATGGAAGAAATATTGTTCGATTAACTCTGGGATTCGAACCCCTGCTCAGTCGGTCATGAATTTGACCGATTAACCCTCTCATCTTCAATATGCACCCATCTGTGCGGAATAAAACGGTTTCATAAGGTGGGCCTAGATGGCTCGGATACAATTCTGGCTATTAAACCGTATTAAGTTAAAAAGATCAATGAACGTTTATTCTCACGCTTAAAAGTTTGAAAATCATGTTTTTTATGGCTATTTGACTGTTTTGGTTAAATGTGGCATAATAAAAATGAAATAAATGCTATGTAAAATGCTATGTTTTTACCGAGAAATTTCTTACAACGTATGTTTATAAAAATATTTTGAGAGGTAGAAGCAAATTTCTAAGTTCTGCTAAAAATTGCCAATATTCGCTTCTTATTTTTCTTATTTTTGTTGTTTGAAAATAAGTCCGTTTATCAAAAATGTAACTTGTAGCAATAAAATGATTTCCCAATTATCATTTATCTATTGAATCCACCTTAACCCATTTGTTTCGGGCTTCTTTCTTTTAAGGAAATGATTTCTTTAAAAAAAATAATAACGAGAAAAAATGTGTTTCATCATAAGGATTTGTTCATCATAAGGATGTGCGTTCAAGCTGTGGTAAAATAAAAATATTTTTTTTACAATTGTAATTCATGTTCTAATTCCTTTTTGCGAAAATCGTTCTCGGAAAGAATTAAAGTCATCAGGAATGCTTTACCTATCTAAAGGTGCTTTGAAACTGTATTGTCGTAAAAGGATTCAAAATTTGCTATCTGTAAAAAAATTAACTAGTTGTATTATCGAATGTTTCAATTCACAGTTTTATAAGTTCTCTCACAGATGGCGCTAACATCGCAGAAAATGACTGTACCATCAGCTTCACGGGGATCCAAATCACAATTTTATAAAATTCTATTGTAAAAGAAAAGATAGTTAACCAACTTAGAAGGCATGTAAAACTTTATTAAAATGTGTAATATAAAACATAATTATAGGTAAATACA